AAATTAAATTAATCAACACACACGGATTTAAAATCGATACGTACAAAACTTCACTCTCCTTTGATGTGAATTTATGCCTGAAATAATTAACTAAATCAAATAAAAAATTATGGTCCACGACAACGAAAATGAAAACGTAAATCCACAAGACCGCAACCATGAAATTACTAAAAATATGAAAAAAGTATAATAAGAAAAAAGAAGACTTTATTTCTTATACTTTTTAAAAAGCACTACTTAATTAAATTCTTATATTTTAAAACTTATATTTGCATTTTAAATTTTTTCAATGATTTTGACTTGGGAGAAAGAAAGCAGCTCAATTATAAACTTCAGCACTACAATGAGCTTAAATCTGTTCGCGAGTGGATATATTTGATTAAGCCCCAACATTCATTTAATTGATATAAATGTTAAAATTTAAGCCATTCGAATGGTCCAGTCTGACTTAAAAGCCCATAATTGCAGCTCCATACCAAAACTGAGTAATACATTAATAAATCGGATTTAATGCACTTGTCCCATACCGTGCTTTGGCTCCTTTCGATCGTACAACTATTTTGTCCGGTGCATTAGTGAGTTGTTGTTTTTTCGGGATTTATCTTATTGTGCATTAAGTGAGTTGCTTAATATACATTATTATATTTGAGGAAAAAAAACATTTTTATAACATTTTATTTATAATAGAAAAACTATATAAAAACATATATTTGGATCACAATGAATTCCCCTAAACCCCAACCTTTGTCCTACCAAGTGCGAACTACATGTTTCCTCTGCTCCACCTCTTCCTCCTCTTAATCTCTGCTGGAGCGATCGATGATTCCGTCTCCGCCTACGATGCCCTCCAGCTGTACAACTTCCCCATCGGCCTCCTTCCGCAGGGTGTAATTCGATACGACCTAGAAAACAGCACGGGAGAATTTTCAGTCTACTTCAACGGGAGCTGCAGTTTCTCGCTTGAGGGATCGTACCAGCTTCGATACCAGCCATCTATCTCCGGCAGGATATCAACGAATAGGCTCGGCAATCTCAAGGGTGTTAGCGTCAAGGTGATCCTTTTCTGGATTAAGATTGTCGAGGTGGTCCGAAATGGCGACGAACTCGAATTCTCTGTGGGGATCGCTTCAGCGGACTTTGCCATCGATAACTTTGGCATTTCTCCGCAGTGCGGGTGCGGATTGAATTGCGACGCCGTCGGCGATGTGGCGGAGGAGGTTGATCTGTTGTCGTTGAAAGCCGCCGTCTGATGAATTTGGTATGCGAGATATCGGCATTTCTTTCTTATATTGTGTTGAGTTTCTAGGGTTCAATGTATCATGGTAGAAAGTTCTTGATTTTTAAGTTTTTTTTTTTTTTCATGTCGTATTTGGAATTGGCAATATTTGAGATGGATAGTGTTGTTAAAGTGACAGTCCTGTGAATTTCTAACATGTGATGTGTATGTTTGTTGATTTGTGTTGTAGATTATTTGGCTCACAGATGTTTAACAGAATAGTCAAAGAGATTATTGTTTTAATCAGAAGTTGGATTCGTTGGAGAAGGCCTCTGATGTTCATGTTAACTTGGCATGGAAATTGATCCAAATCTTAAAACAAAGGGGCGTTTGGGGAAGCTTATTCACAGCGGTGGCGTTTTGAGAACGCCACCCGCGATTTGGAAAACGCCTATATGGGGCGTACTTAAAAACGTCGTTCACAAGTTTACATTAAATACCCCGCGCTCCGCGTTTGCTTCGAGCGAAAGACAACTCTCGCCCTCGCTCTCTCTGCCCTAACTCTCGTTCGCCTTCATCTGCCTCCTCCTCTCGCACGATTCTCTCGACCCCTTCACCTTCTCTGCCTCCTCCTCTCGCACGGATCTCTCAACCCCCTCGTCTTCTCCTCTGCCTCTTCCTCTCACACGGCTGTCAACCTTTCGGCTGTCTGTAAGATTTACAACTTTTTCTTCTCTCGAAATGGTTTGTATCGTGTGATACTTTCATGTGAAGCTTGCAATTTCTATTTACGGCAATCCTTAGTGGTGTCTGTTGTGAAAAACAACAACAATAAAGAGAAAAATGGAGCGAGTAAAATTGCACGTAGAAAAAACACCAGAGCGACACATAGATCTACGTAGTTCGGCAAATTTGCCTACGTCCACGGAGCTACAGAGAATTTTATTTCTTCGAGGAATTGCATCGTCGAGTACCTTGACGTTTACAAAAAAATCTCTATTTTCTTCTCTCCCTTTCTCTCTCTCTCTCTCTTCCTCTCTCTCTCTCTTCCTCTCTTTCTGTCCTCTCTTTCTGTTAGCTCTCAAGAGAACTTGGTTTGGCCTTGCTTGGCTTGAGGTTTCTTCTTTTAAGTCAAAAGAGGCTATTTATAAAAATCATGAAAGCTGAGGGCAGTAGGTGGGAGGTAAGTGAGCGGTAGGTGGGATATGGTAGGTGAGTGGTAGGTGAAAAAGTAGGTGAACGGTAGGTGGGATTCTTAATTAGGAAGCTAATTAAATTCGATGGATCGGGTCTCCACATTACCCAACAATTCTCCCACTTGGAGACTGGGACACTGACTGCATCATCATCTACTAGCTGTACCGACCTTTTCCTCAAACACGATATCCTCCACCTCTGCAACTCGAAGCCCATGTCTTCATGCCAGAAGACCAACTGAAGTTGAACATAACTTTAGCTTCTCATGAGTAACACCCTCAGTTGACATATCACAGTCAACGTAGTCTTGTACCACCAAGCTCTTTCCTGGGTTACTCATGTATCTTCTTATAACTTCCACAGCATGAGCAATATCCTGCCCCTGCTGAAAGCCCTT